ATTCCACTGTTGATCAACTTCAGCCCAATCAGCTAGACATCCTTTCATGACATTCGTGCAGAGACCCGAACAGGGCTTTGCCTGTGGTTCACCGGAACACAACGAGCAGTCCCACATCTTAGCCAGATTGATCCTGCACTCCTTCGAGACCGAAACCTGGAATGACGAAAAAAATAGAGAGGATTGGTAAGAATGAGACTTCTCTTGACCCTCAAGACAAGTACAGATCACTCATGATTCTTGAGTGAATCTCTCGGATTTCAATTTCGATTATTATCGAGACACCAGGTGCAGATCATGTCGGGACCGTCAAAACTTCTATACTTCATCAGAGTTGGTTCCAGTGTCGTAGTAGTATCCAGTTCTTTTGTAACTCTCCAGTTGAGGACCAAAACAAGTCCCTAACGGATCGATAAAATCCATAAATCATATATGGAGGTATGTGACCATTTATGATCGTTCCCAGCCCTAAACTATCATGGACGACATCTGCTTAGGTCGGCATGGATGACGACAAAGTGCGATATATAACCAAGTTGCGTCATCGATAAGTAGACGGCTGATCAATAACCTTCTTGGCATCGATCGATAAGCCGAACAGCAGCCTTTCCAGATAAATAAGATAAGATGATCCCTGCAAACGACAGGGCACGGATTGGAACACAGCCAAGGCGGGCTTCTCCACCAATGATGTCCTCCTTAGTTCGTCACAACTGGCAGGAAAGCCTTTCCTGGCTCCGCTCGAATTCGCACCCCTCATGCGCGCCAACGGGTCCAGAGATCAAGACTATCTGGTGCTCTCTGCTAGTGACGGATCAATGACCCGATTTGAATCGATCAATAGCCAGACCGTCTTGATTCTTGCAATTAGTTGCAGCTTCATCTAGCCGATCGCCGTAATGAGGCAAGTAATCCGGTCCCGGGTTCTGTAATTAACTGCTAACCGCCAACAACAGGTGCATGCGCTTCAGACGCGGATTGAAGGCAATGGGGACTCGCTTAAGTGGTCTTGCGGTCCTGCACATGCTGGGATTAAGGCACTGCTTGCGAGGTCACGCATTAAAAAGCCTAGATACGGTGCGGACTGATCAAGAATTTACTAAGAAAAACTGTCTGCCCATATAATACTGCGTGAGGTAATTATTCTGGAGTGGTCCAACCTCAAGGATTGGCCTTGCGCAATCACGTGGCTCCATTGCAGGGACCTCGCGAGGACGAGTCGTAGTCCTGAGTGAGCACGAAAACACACCACCATACTTCAGATGGCTTAAGGGTCCAGCCACCTCAGTGTAAATGGCTTCCGAGTGACTGGACACAATATTCCAACCACTCATGAATGAATACACAAATTAAAAAGTAGTTCAGTTAGGCGATTTTTTTTCAATCTTTGATTATAAAACCCATACAACCTCGCAGGTATGAAAGCAGGGATCGTACTGTTGATTGGGAGAACTTTTGCAAAATTTTCCAGCCCCCCCCCCACTGGATTCCCCAGCGTGTGAGCCAGTAAAAATCAGCTATTAGAAAAATTTTTTTCAGGCCACAGTATGACCAGCCCCCCCTTTCATGCCAAACACGACGCCCCGCTGAGGTTTTCCAGAATACGACGTGCCCTGTATGAGCAGGTTTCCAGAGCAGGCCATCCATGGTTTCAATTAAACGCAGCGCCTGAGGTCAGTTAGTTGACCAGCATCTTCTGAATTGAATCAATTAGGTCCAGATGCGAGTGTCGCGCGCCGCTTTCTCTCCACCTTGTAAGCATTGTGGAGTATCCGGAGTCCGCCACTGACCATTTGACGATATCATTCAAAACCCTGCGCTTCGGCGCTAGTGGTAAGATGAGGGGAGAGAAGGGTGTGGAGTGGGGGAGGGGAGAGGGGAAGGTCGATGATAGCGTATAGTTCTTTGACTCTCTTGAAGTCGAGTTATAGGAGTTGTCCATTGGATTGTCCTTGAGCCGAGCTGAACCCTTGTGGGTCTCTGAGCAAATACTCACTAACTCAGTAGCAGTGCCGATCGTTCGTGAAGTTCATGGCGCATCCCAGCGGAGCAACACCACTTTCCCGTTATACTTTCTAAGTTACTTTCCTTTCTCATTTTTGCACCTCTGAAGTGCCAAACCACAACCTGAAGAAGCTGTTCGGCTTGGGTGGGAGGGGGTGGGGCTTCGTTTGGGCTAGTTTCTTCGACTAGTTCCTATCAGTGTGATGTACATGTCTCGCCTTGGTAAAAACTGTAGAACTCTTATCAGGTGTAAATGAGCTTGCGCTCGTGCTATAGCTTTGCAAGAGTTTACAGGTCTTCACAGAAAGCATCGTCAATGATCGATGGGACTCAGCAATGCCCCCCCCCCATGCCAAACAGCTCCCGTTTTTCCTTTCTATTATGCTTAGAAAACCTTCAAAAAATGCCCTTGAAGGTTTCAGGTACACCTGTGGGATTACCCTCTTTTCAAATGAGGAGTGAATGTCATTAAACAAAACGCCGGAATCGTTCCGTCATCGAGGCGATGACCTCCAAACAAATCCCCCGCAGTTCCGTAGATGAATTCGGGAATCATGTAATTAACGGTACGGTACGACATCAGAAATGTCCTCAAAATGAAGGACGTCTAGCCTGATCAAACAGGGGGGAAGGACTCCGAAGCGCGGATGACACATCTTGACGGGTGGAGCAGCGTGTGTATCGGCCATGATATTTTCGATGGTCTACGGATTTAAATGCCATCTTGACGATATACGGCCACGGCGGGTTACGGTACCACTCAGTGCTGCCATATCAGGTCAAATACGGAAAATTTCCGGTGCGACAATTTGGCACCGTTTTAATGAGGTTCACGACGACGCGGCGATTCTAGGGAGATCCTGTATGCAAGATGTTTTCGGGTCAAAGAGGCAATTGCAGGCCTCAAAATTAGAAATATACCGAAAG